TGTGCATTTTAACCCCGGCGATTATGATCAGCACCGCCATTTTGCTTTATTGCCCGAAGTATTGTTTAAATTTTCATAGAAAACTAAGCTACTATAAATTAAATTATCAACCAATAAAACGACAGTGTTATTCAGTCATCAGTAATATAAAAACCAACGTACATAAAGTTAAACTCCCCGTGTTAGACCTTAGGTAACAAAGCATTCAAACTCGCTTGTCTGTCGCCATATTGCTAATTTGAATGCAACAACGGATTGAAGGCAAATTTTCACGATAATATCTGCTCCAAAATATTGCATATTTTACACACAAGTGAACCCTGTTAGTTTTCCCTTCTGCACATACATTCTCAGAGAAACTACAAGACTAAAAGAGGTAATTTACCTACCTTGAAATCGCCCACATGCAACAGAGCTCTACCTGCGCACGATCACAACGCGACTGACTACTTCCGCCGTACGAACGTCTTTCCACAGTTAATCGGATTACCCTTTGAAGAATTGCCGAGTGTCCAATCTTTGGTATATTAGATCTTAGTTCCATCCAAATAAACATTATCTTTATCATATTTGTTACTAAAAATAGGGCATTTGAATTAGGCTGGCTTTAACCTATTTTTTCTTTATTGGCCTAAATTGTGAGATCTCATTTTCAAAAGATAACTACTCTTCAAAATACAGTATTTTTCCTTATACAGTAAACAAGACCACAAATGGACTTTTTGCATGATCACAAGAAATCATGACTGCACCCATGGTATTCAGCCAAAGCTCCTGAACTTCTGTGCGTGTTAAACATAGCACCCATCCTGTCCAGTCTGTGACCACACCTTGCCTAGTGGACATGACACAGTCATGAATTTAACAGATCTGTCACGCGTATAATGGAGTTTCTCTCTTCCAAAAGTGATGTCTGCAAATCCTTCTCAATAACTCACCCAAACTGTTGATCTGCATGGTGTCATTTGTTTTTCCAGTTTTGTCTGTAGAAGTCTTTCATCTGCCCTCCCCCCCTCCACCTCTTTAAAAAACACCTCTAGTGTACAAATACTGTACCTTCCCCATCCCACTACTAAATACTCTCATCACTGCAAATGCGAGAATCTTCAAGAACTCTGCTCGCTTTTTATTGAACTTTATTCCTGGATGAAACTACTATTAATATTGATATGGAAAATATAAAATAAGTCACAGATGGTGCTCAAAATTTGGAAACCGGAAAACTCTAAGGCAAATCATTGCCAAATGTTGTCTCTTCATTTATCAAGCCTATGAAATATTTTGGGTACAACTGCTTTGTTGACACTAATGAAAAAATCAGTGATAAATGAGGATTTAATGTTCTCCCTTTGGTTAAATTTTAGAAGGAGAGGAAAAAAACGATGGGAAGCAATGGGTATTAATACTGCACAAGATATATGCTGTATTCTGTTTGCAAAGGGTGGGCGAGGATAAATCAAAATCTACTGTAATTACTGTCAAAACATAAATCAAAATCTACAGTAATTACAACAAAACTAACATGATAGACACATATAAAATACTTTTCAAGAATAAAAGGATTGATTGTCTGCATGTTACTGGCCAGAACTGCTTCGTTTTATCAACTGACCAATTAAAATGGTCAAGTTACAAGGGGAAAATGGCAAAGAAAAAGGGACTGAAAAAGGAATAAATCAAAACAATTAACTGACACATTTCACTATGAGACAAGAAAAAACAAATGTTGATGTACTGCTTCAGTACATGTGAGCTGAATGGAAGTACTTTTTCAAGGCAAACATCAGAAATACAGCCGTTGCATTCTCACGTTTCAAATTGCTCTAGTTGACACACAAATTTATGAGTTTTAATCCAGAACAAATTTCTCTCCTTTGTTCCATTTTTTCCCCTTCATCAATTCCTGTCCCAACTCCATAAAAGTCAGGACTTTGTTGGCTATTGCTCGACCTCCCCAGGACGACTATTTTTTCGACATACATCTGTCAAACGCGCGCCTTGCATCTCTGTCCAAACTTGTTCACTTTTGCTCTCTAATCTCAATCACCTTGGTGTGATACAAGTTTAGATTTACAGTATAAATACAGCTCCCGATAACATCCAGTTGCCCAGCAATTTGGCTAAAACCTGTAGATCAAGCTAATCCCCCTTACCCAACATTGAGCTGATAATCGCAGTTTTGCTGCCAAGAATTAAGCCACAATTTTTTCATTTTTTTTACTATCTGGTTTAAGAAAGTCAACTTTATTGCCTTCAAGATTAGCCTTTTGTGCCTTCTATGGCCTCAATCTGGGGTATATCCAATATTAAAGCAGAGTATGGAGCTTCGGCATTTAACAATCTTCCTCTTCCGCCATATTAAAAACCCTTCTACTTCAAACGTACTATGGCAGAATTTGCAACATCAAACTACATTTTTCTAAGAGGTACCATCTAGAATACATAGCTCTGATAAAGAAAACCTTTATTCTGAAAGCAGAAAGCATATCAATTATTGAATTATTCTTCATATAATTACTATTTGTGGGGGGGAAAGGTGTGGAAAATGCTCACCCTGGCAGCAGCTTTGATTTTCCTTAAAAGCTCTACCGTGGGCCCAAGGAACTCGTGTCTAAACTGATCCCAGTTCCCATCAAACTGCTCATCAATGCACTGCTTCACTTGGCTGACCAAGACTCCCTCTACACTGGCATACGGGATGTAAAGTCCTTCTAAGGAGGCCCTTAAAGTGGTTTCCCAGTTCTGAAATTTAAAATAAGAGTTCAGATAATAAAAAAACATCCCCAGCTTCACCCCCCCCCAAAAAAAACCAATAAATGGAAAAACTGTTTTCCAAGTAACAATACCAAACAATGTTATATATCACAAAATTTCTGATATCAATAGGTACAAGTGCACAGATTCATTGCAAAATGATCATCAAAGACAGCGCTGTGAAAATCTAATTGCAACAAGTTCAAATTACTGTCAAACTCAAATGCTAAAGTGGTTCAGAAAATTGCAATGTAACTACAAATCTTAGGCACTTTAATTCTGCTAAATCTAATAAAGGAGGAGTAGCTGCACATGGTAAATAAAAATAAATATATGGCACCAACTGGGGGAGAAACCACTTTGGGGTAAGAGTTGCACAGTGTGCTACATAATCACTGCATAAAAAACAAAATGGTGAAAACAGATAATTAACAGCTGTCAAGTTGACAAAAGAGGTATGAGGCCATAACAGAATTAATGTCGACTATAAAGTATTTTTTCGGTCACAGTACTGCCTTGGAGAAACACGTTTTATTTATGTTAAAAAGTCAAGCTGCGTGATTATTTTCTGGCAGGCCATGTCTTTGTCTTGTGACTTTTTTATCACGGGCACTGAAAGAGAACTTTCACATCATAATGAGAAACAACATTCTTAAATAAGTATTCCTTTCTATGAATCTAAATATATACTATAGTACAGCTTTTCTGGCCCCGCTCCCCTCCCCAATATTTTTCCTTCAAATCCTCAAACTTCAAATCCTAAGCCAAACTAGATTGAGACAAATACCCCGTTCACACTACAGTTGCCAAAATGCGCATTTCTATAATTCAGATTTTTCGTAAGGAATCCGATTCGGTATTGCGTTCACACTCGCTAAGCGAATCCAAATCCCACGTTGAAAATTTCAGGTTAAACTTCCTGTTTTGAACACTCGCGCATGCGCCGCACAGGAAATCTTAAAATATCAACAAAAATTTGTGACGACAAATGCAACTCAAAAGACATTCCAGCATTCTTGAGAAGTATAAGGTGGCAAAATAAGTTTGTTTCCTCATGTTGTAGTGAGTGGTGACCGCCAAATACGTTTGGGGCAATCGCTAAAGTAATAAACCAGCGTTCATAGATACCCGCACTTATCTGCACACATGCGCAGTAAGATCTGTACAGGTGTCGATTCCGGTAAGTTATCCGGATCGCGCTTAGAAATCCACCTCGCTTGCAGGATTTTGAAAATGCGCATTTTCAAAATCCTCTTGCGTTCACACTACTGCATTTATTCGAATTGTGACCTAATTCGCAACCTATCCGGATAACTGAGCGTAGTGTGAACGGGATAAAAGTCTTTTACTTATTCCACTGACCTGACAAGAGAGACACACATTTTTTTGCTGATGTTGAAATATAAACCCTCTGCACTGATCAGCGTAATTCCACAGGGTGCAATTCACAAAAATGATTTTTCACATCTTTTTTTTTCTCTTGGGTCAATGGGTTTTGTTGTTCAAACATCCCCCAACTTAGTGGAATAATTTAACAGATTCAATAAATCAGCAGGGAGAATTGCATGGCTGGCTGAATGAAGATGGTGAATAATCAGTAAAATATCTCTCCGCCAGCTATGACGTAAGGAGCCTGCTGAGATTTTTCCTAAAGTGTGCATGTACGAGTCCATCTACCACCCTGTGCTTTGTACTGTACTACTACCAGTATAATGATGTGAATGGGAAAACACATAACATCACTTTTTAAGTTCATTCCAAATGGTGATGTTTATATATCATAACTATTCGTTAGTAATGGTTTCATGATTTCATATTCTGAATGCAGATTTTAGCCCAGCCTTTCTTTTATATAATTACTAAGAATCAGCATTTCACTGTTTGTTGTAAGTACTGTAGCAGTATATTAAGATGATGGAGTACCCGGGCATATTTTTTATCTTTTACATTTAATTTGATTTTTTATTCATTATTCTTTCATCTATTAGGGTGCTGTTGGGAGATTATAAATTTGGAAAGTTTGGAAAGTGGAAAGAGGAATTTAGACAGTTCATTATCTGCTCAATTTCACTTGCACAAATGAGATGTGCACTTTAAAAAAATTGCCAAATGTAGATTAAGGGCAGCACTTTAGCAAAATGAAATATTAAGGTACTTATTTGTCTTAAAAAATAATACAGTCCCAGAAGTACATGAAACATACAGGCCCCACATGTTGTTATATTTATATACACAGCTCACAGTGGCAATATAAATTTCTCTACACTGCAGCCTCCCTATCATCCATCTCCTAGCAACGGTAAACACAAAAATGCTTTCAGACCATTTTGTTCACTTTCTCTTTTGTAGAATGTTTCCTGCTCAACAGCAAATGCAACATACAAAATTCTTAGGTACCATAAATTATGTCAGGGGTTCTTATGAATGATGAAAATGGAAAGGTCATGTTGGCAGACAGACTCTCTGTTGTGAAAAATAAACTGTGCAAGAAGTTTCTAAAAGGGAAGAGCTGATAGACCTGATAATAAAAAGCATGACCTTGAACACGAAAAGAACTGAACTCTAACAAATTATGGTGTTTAATTAAGCAACAAAAAATCTGTAACCTGTTTCTTAAATATCTATTTCACAATCTTGATAGAATTGTTCATTCTCAACAAACAACACAACTAATCCATTTAATGCAAAGTAAAAAAATCTTTATGAAAAGCAAAGCAAAACAATTTAGAGCTAAATATACCTTGCTGCACATACCTAGACAGATAGACAGACAGACAATACAGTTACCCAAGTAAACCATTTATGCATAGATGTTTTCTAAGATAACTTGTTTTCAGTTGTTCTTTTATGTTTGTGAACACGTTAAATAACACGAGCACTTTCTGATAACTACATACTGCCATTAAACTGGTGCCTGAAACACACACACACACACACACACACACACACACGAAAAAACAAACACACACACACACACACACACACTATTTACCTTACTACAGCCAATATACAACTCCTTCACGCAGTATTCTTCCCACCACCCAGCCGGCTGATACTATCCAGTGTTATAGCTAATCATGAACTTCCCTGGGAGGTTAAAAAATATCCAAGAGGCAAGCGACTACTCAGCAGACAAGAATGTTCTAAGATTACTGCTAGTTTATCTCTCAGCAATGCCACAACTCAAAAAGAGTTGTCTGCAAATCGTGGAACATTAACACTCCTGTCAGAGAGAGGTGTAAACTACGGAGCGAGAGTGAGGGGAAAGGTTAAATCTGTTTGGTTAAAATAAATGTGTGGTAGAAGAGGCGGCTTGCAGTCTGACAGGCACCCTGAAGTTCTGGGCATGGGGGTAGCGCTAACAAATAATAAACCCCAAATGCAATAAAAAAATGAAGAGTGTTTTTGTTACAAAAGCTTTTAAAAAATACATGTAAATCCCCCTGTTGGATAGGGATAAAGAAAGAGATTGAGGTTGAGCAATCAAAAGTGACATTTGGGAATAAAGTGGTTCTTTGGGAAATGAGTCATCATTTTTAGGTCTGCAGTTGGGGTAGACAACTGTTGGAGATGGAAAAAGGGAGACTGATGTCTTTGTGAAATCCTAGACCTCACTTAGACACAGCAGTGAGAACATTTGCACCAATCAAGACTCTAATTAGATCAACGCTTGTTTCTCACAGAGACATGTTAAAAGTGTCCTCAGAACCTGTTGGCAAAGGCAAACAGGGTGTGTAAACCTTAATATAGCAAATAGAAAATTTGCCCAAATTTTTCTGGAAATTTTAGCATTTTCCCATTAATCACCAAGGTATACCTTGTCCAAAATTATCAAGGAAATTACCATTTACAGCTCTCAATTTTTAATTTTTACCATCACAAACAAAATTTGAATACCATTTTCAATATGCAAGTTGATCAAAACTTAGAAACTTAGGGTGAGAAGAAGTCTACATAGTTATTTGTAAATATTTTGTGATTGTCATGCCTTAATTGGTGACAAAGGAAAAATTGCTAAAATTAAAGAAAATAATTTCCTGAGCGCAATGAAGGCAGGAATCAATTGTGAAGGGCATGCCTTATTTGATCTGCGGACTAATTAGTTCGCGTATCAACTGGTTGTGAACTCGGCCTAACACTCACTGTGTGACTTAAATTTCCATCTATTCACATCTAACTGATGAAATATTTAGCTGCAACTCTATTTTTATTGCCACTCTGACACTCTTATGTCTAACAAGAGACAATCATCAGAGAATACAGCCATAGGTGTTATGGTAGCCACTAATACAGCTGATAAAATTCTTTGCCAAGTATGAAAAGATTCCCTGGCCCCTCACAGCGAGGTCACCGAGTACCTCTCTTATTTCTCAATAAGACTCTAGTAAATGAAGGCGTTATTCAATCACTGCAATAAAATTTAATGGGATCAAATCTAGAAGCGCATAATTCAAGTCAAAATCCCTTATTAAATATTTTCAGGTGATTTCCCACAGAGATATATATATAACCAAAATGAAGTTTTGACAGCAAAGTGTTCTTTTTCACTCATACAACTGCAATTTCCTCCCAATAAATGCTACTTATAAACCATATGACCAATTTGTGACAGTTTTAAGTGTGCTTTTTAAAATTTTGTGTCCCTCTTAAATTATAATTCTTTGCAACATATGACCTGTGTTAAAAAAGACTTATACAAACCCCCTCAAGTCAAGAGGAGAAATCACGATGACTAAGTAAACACCCCTTCACATTTTCACAAAATCTACATTTTTTGTCAACATCTTGAGAAATACTGTGATCAATAGCTAAGTGTCATTTCCACATGTGTGCATCTTTAAAAACATGAAGTATATGGTTTTTTGCAGAAAAAAAGACATCACTATAACAGGTGCCTTGTGGGAAATCAGTCCAACTCGGGGCATCCACCTTTGATATATGTGTGATGGGAGAGAACAAACATGCCTATATTCTTTTTATATCGACAATAAAATTTATTACTGCTGAGCCTGAGTAGCGGGTAATAGCATTCTGCGTTTCACAACTTACATACATATTAATAGGCTGGACTGGTAGCATAATATGATTTAGAATTCTGCATTTATGTGGCAGACAGAGCTATTAGATTCACTGAGAAATGTTCAAGTTGTTCATGAACCTTTTATTATTATCCTATTATTATTATTTATTTTTTGTTCTAACTTTCGATGCTATGTACTTTCGTTGATCTCTGAATTTAACATTTTGACCCATTTCTTGTATCAAAATCAACTTGTGGGTAATCAATATTTTCTAGTTTTCCATACGTTTGATAGGACCCAACAGTTTATAAACAGTGACAAGATGTTTGCTGGAGTGAAAATAATTCATCATAGAGTTGCAGCTTCTTCCTGGACACAATGTGATACATGTATTATCTATAATTTACATCTTCCTTATAGCTTCTCCACTGCTCTGATTGGTAAACTATTTCCCAGAGAAGCAATAATGACATGCACTTGTGAATCACCTGTGCAAAACGGAGAGAAAAGGGTATGTGGAATTTCTGATAAATGGCTGAAAAGATGAAATATAGGGCTCTTGGTAAAGTGTGTGTTTGTGGAGTGGGGGTTGGGGGATGTGCAATAAAACAGATAGGTACATAGTAAATATATCTGGCCTTGTCACTTACTTTGAAGAGGGGGTTACAACTTTTCACATAGTTTTTTTTTTGTACAGTTTTTCCTTGAAAAAGATGAATTGCAAAACCAACCTCCTCAGCTACAGCATCTTCTTCCTCCTCCTCTTCCTCCTCGTTGTCGTCTTCGTCAAGTTCTGCTATGCCAGGCAATCTGCCATACACACTCTGTAACAACAAGAACACTAACATCAGTGGTGCACTATACTCCATATCATTAAAGTTAACAGTACTGCAAGGGCCCTTAGGAGATATAACTGAGGCAAACAAACAAACAAACAAACAAACAAACAAACAAACAAATAAATTGATACAGCTTGACTGCCAGGCTGCATACTACCTCTGGACTACTATTGCCAATTTAAATCAATTTAAATTTTCTCACAGCTAAATGAAATAATTCTAGTCAAAAATGAAAGACTTTTTTATTGCCTTAGTTGTACTGGTCAAGAAGTCTATGCCCAAGGTAATATAGAGCATTGAACTATAAGCATTGTGTTAGGTGAACTCTTGGTCACAACAGTACAATCAAACCAGAAACTAATCTCTACACTTCAATTACCAACACATTCAATGGCAATTACACCTGAGATAACTGCCCTAACTGTTCAACACAATGAGACTAGATTATTGAAAGACACAACTGTGGTAAATAAATTGAACTCCTCAGATGGAACTCGATAAATAATATACATAGTCAGTGAAGCACAAAATTTTTAATGCATTAATTGCCACAAACTGCAGTTTTAAGAAATAACAAAAACCTCCAGTTCTGAGACCCTCGCTGTTTCTCAAAATGGCTAAATTGGAAAATTAGCCTCAGCAAAGACTTATAAGAATATCAGCCAACAAAGTTGCATTTCACTAAGAATCACCTGAAAGGACAATTAGCTCCTTTAGTCAGCCTTACTTAAATGACTTATTTTAAATGTCAGAGGAAATTGAATGGGGCCTCAGGATATTCTGTTTTATTCCAGGTCTATTTCTTGTGGCTTGCTAGTACATACCAAAGAAATTTTCACAGTTGTCACCATAAGCCGTACTTACATTTGTGACATTTGATATCTGAGATCTGCCTTGGGCGAGTGATGAGTCCATAACCGAGATAATTGAACTCTTGATTTCTTATAATGTTTTTTATCTAATTCAGGTTTTGAATTCATATATCAAAAAAAAAAAAAAAAGAAATTCAGGGTACAAACCATTACTTTGCTATATGCCCTAAGCCCACACTCTATATCATCCTGAGTTTCAGATTTCTCACCATGACTACATTTTCCCCAGTTTATGCTCTCTAGCACCTTATATTATAGGGCACAAACTTCTCATTTATAAATAATTTGCTTCTAACCAGTACAATCTCTCTAACACTGCATCGGTCCTTGAGCTGACGGGAGAGGAGCCTCCAACAGAACCCGAAATTCAAGGTGTCAAGAAGAATTGTCCCGAAGGTCAGAGCCACTGTGGACATTTAAGGAATTCAGCAAATTAGTTTTATAAATTGACTGATAAATAAGGCTAGGGAAAACAAATCAATATAATTATAGGATGGTATGAAAATAGCTGCCTTTAATGCCAAGTCAGGTTACTATCTGATGGTGCACGTGTGTGTGTGTGTGTGTGTGTGTGTGTGTGTGTGTGTGTGTTTGTGTGTGTGTGTGTGTATACAAACAGAAGTGAACAACAACAGAATGACCACACTCATGATCAGTTTGTTATATATTCACACAACACAACTAACTTCTGAAGCAGACATGAAATCTGCATCAGTTGTATATTACTATGGTAACCCGTGTAAAATAATTTTTTAACTCTAAGCCTTATATTATCATAGACAGGAGTGTGTCCAAATGCCAATTAACCATTTCCTATAGGCAGTAACATTTGGGCAAATTCACTCGAAGTTTTAAAACTAACATTTGTTAAATCAAAATCAAATTTTACATCAAGTGCCTCAAAAAATGGCCTTTTCAACTGAAACCATTTCAAAACAATCTACAAGACTTAATGGGTGGCTATTGTGTGCTACATAACTGAAAACATTCTGCCCCATCAACCACAGATGAAAAAATCCACCACAAATCAATCAAAAATACTCACTTGAATCCAGAAGCACAGCAATCCTGATCAAAACTGATCCAAAGGAGAAAAAAACCTGAGCGGGACAAAAACGAAAATCAATGAACAGCCTGATTGATTGAAGCTGACCCATCGACTGAGGGTGAAAGAAGGGAGTTATGAATGAAATATGCAGTGTTTATGTTTGCCTGACCCTCGTTCCTAATCTCTCACAATCGAGCTCAGCAAATATTGACCATTTGCTGCAATGGTCTGTACACATGAGGGAGTCGTTTGACGAATTGAGTCGAATTCCTTTTAAGATTAGAAAATGATTTTGAAGATATGGGGGCCATTTGAGATGATGGATAAATGTCGCTGGAATAATGTATTATAAGAGAATTCACTTTTAATGAATCATTTGGTGAATAAAGTATTATTGAATGGAATTGGATTCAGCAAATACTTCTTCATGGAAAAAATAAATCAGTTCTTTGGTGATTAGGAAAATAATATTGCTACACTATATAAGTACAACAAACCACTTAAAATTACTGCCTATTTTTAACATTTTTACAGATGATCACCATTCAACTTACTAACAACTTACTATCAAAGAAGGTCAACTTAAACTGGAACCGGCCCAAGGCCAAGCTGGCAAAATGTCAAAGTTCTAGCACATCCTTTTGCCGTCCACTCAAAACTGAGGCAAAAATCGATNGTTTTCTTCTGGCCCTTCGGGCCAGTGAGACATGAAACTCACTGACCCGACTCAGCTTTCCACTTGCCCAACATGACATCAGAAGTCGCAACTATTATTTGCTTACTATTCATTTATTACAGGCAATTTAAGAATAAACTTTTGGAAACATCGTTTGATCCTTTTAAGCACATAACCTATTTATAATCAAAAGTTTGTGTAAATGTAGAAATTAAATTAGTTTTTAATCATTGTGGTTCAAGAGGAAATTAAACAGTTCATGTATCTCCATCAACCGGTGCTTCCTGAAACTGGGGACGCCGCTGTCTCTGAGCTTCCGTCCACCAGAGATGCAAGGCTCTTTCTGCAGAAAATGACTCAAGGTCAGGGCCTTCCAATGAAGCAAAAAATCATTGCGAGATGCCCTCCAATCACTTTTGATTCTCTCTAGTGGCAGTGCAGAGAATCCACGTTCACAATTAGCACTGGAAACAGGGATTGCCAATACTATTTCAACAAGTTTGAGATTATGCTTTAAATCATCTGCATGCGTGATGAACATTTCTTGCACAGTGGGTCTTGGATTTCTCTACAGTCTCACTCCCAATATGGCCTTCATGCGAGCCCACTCACTGGATATACTGGGAAAATCATACACTCCAAGATTCTGAAAAACAGGTCTGAAATGATTCACAAGATACTCTACTCTGTCATTCCCATATCCTGCTCAGTTCTGGCAATCCAAAGGCCACTCCTTAGTGTGAAAGACATGCCCTGCATCCAACCCAGCCATGGAAGGATCCTGCTCCTTTTCTAATTGTACCACCTGCGTTAGCGCTGGCTGTCACATGGTTTTAGTTCCGTCCGGATCGTTCCGCCGGCATGTTACCATTACTGCTTCTCCTCCTAGACGGTAAGGGCCTCCATACCCATCTCTTGGATTTAGGTCACCTATAATCTCAACTTGTTCCACGTAAAATTTGGGCTTTGTCGGTATTGGGTTCTAGGTGTGGCACTCATTGCAATGCACCCTTGTCCAAAAATGGCAAAATTAAATGCTAATTATCTACCCTACGGAAGGAATTATGGGAAAATTTCTACAGACGGCTTTCCAAAAGTCATATTTGGGAAAATAAAACGTAAGGCTTGGCGAGGCAGACAACTTGTGGTCAAAAATGACATTATTTCATGAAATTTGAACATCTGGAACTTCTGAGCACCTCCCATTTCAATAATTTCAACCAAAGTGACCTTTTCTTTATTTTAATTAATTTTCTCTGTAGGAAATTTATGGCACATTATTGTAACTCCAAAATTATAACATTTAGTCCCTTATATCTCCAAAACTGGCAGAGATAGGTCCATAGTTACTATTGAAGTTGAATAGGAAGTCATATACTGGCAATCTAAATGTGACCTTGAAATTGACCTTTGACCTACTTTTTATCATGAATTGAACTTTGCAAATTTTGGTTCCCTTTTATCTCCAAAACTGGCAGAGATAGGTCCATAGTTACTATTGAACTTGAATAGGAAGTCATATACTGACAATCTTCCTCTGACCTTGAAATTGATCTTTGACCTACTTTACATTATAAACTAAACTTTGCACCTTTTTTAATGCTTACACGTTCAAAACTGGCAAAGATACGCCCATAGTTACTATTGAATTTGAATAGAAAGTCATTAGAGGCAATTTACTGTGACCTTAAAATTGACCTTTGACCTACATTTAACCATGAACTGAACTTGGCAAATTTTCGTTCCCTTTTATCTCGAAAACTGGCAGAGATAGGTCCACAGTTACTATTCAACTTGAATATGAAGTCATTAGAGGCAATTTACTGTGACCTTAAAATTGACCTTTGACCTACTTTTTACCATGAACTTTGCAAATTTTGGTTCCCTTTTATCTCTAAAACTGGCAAAGATTCGCCCATAGTTACTATTGAATTTGAATAGGAAGTCACATACTGGCAATCTAAGTGTGACCTTGAAATTGACCTTTGACCTACTTTTTATCATGAATTGAAGTTTACAAATTTTGGTTCCCTTTTATCTCCAAAACTAGCAGAGATGGGTCCATAGTTGCTATTGAACTTGAATAGGAAGTCATACTGAAAATTTACTGTGACCTTGAAATTGACCTTTGACCTACCTTACTATGAACTAAACTTTGATTATACCATTTTTAGTTATATATATTTTTTTGCATTTTTTGAGAATTCTTGTTGATTGCATTTTTTACAGCTTGTGAAGCACAAGACTGTTTGGTGGTGTCCCTTTTTTGTGTGTGGGGGGGTCTATACGATCGCGCTTACTCCAGCTGGTAGTACAATATTCTGAGGCGGTATCACCTTTCTGATCCTTTAGTTTTAAATGTACTCGAAATGAGCAACAGCAATAAAATACACCTATCTCCACAAAGAAAACTAGCAAGATAATAAATTTAAAG